CATAAATATATTAGTGTAAAAGGGGTATATAAAATATACTACTCGTCACAGCCATATAAAATATTTTTTCCTCTGTGTAGAGGATAAAAAAAGAAGGTTTGGGCTGTAAAATCTACATAATATTAAAAAAGTAAAATAAGTTTATAAGTATTACGTTACTCTAGGAAGTTGGAATAGCTAAAACTGACCTTTGTAGAAACTTTCATGCAGATCGTGGTACACAGGGCAATCCAGCAATACATGACATTCATCCTCAATACTTTCCTCACACTGAAAACACGCTCTTACGTTCACGTTCACATTAATGTTCACATTCACATTCACATTCACATTCACATTCACATTAATAGTCATATTCGTATTCGTATTTGTATCTGCCTTTTTCTAACGTTTGAGGAGCAGTACCTGATTTACATCTGGAGAAGGCAGAGCCGTAAGAACGAGGCATACATATTTACATAACTCTCACACCCATACAACATTTCACTCGTACTTAATTTATTACCAGCCATTCTCCCTCCAAGCTTGCATAACAGTTCATTCCAATCAGACACATACTTTCCAATGCAGACATCATGCACACGTACAACGACACTTTTCACGCTTACATTCTCAGAAATATTCACACCCCATTCGTTCATGACTTTGCCCTTACTTGAAATTTCCTGTTGTTTTTTTAATCCAAAGGACATTTTAGTTTAGTAAAACGACATAAATGTCTAACAAAATTGGAGGAATCCATCCCATATCATCATTAACAGCAACATTTGCAACGTATTTTACCACCCTAAGAAAAATGTCAAAGCACGATGGTGAACGGCATTTACAGAACAAATGTCACGATGACCCAAAATAGATGCCCCATAACTCAAAACTGGCCAAACCATGTTATCATACAATTTGGAATAAGTAGTGGTTGCATACCTCCGATTGCCTTATATTTACATATAAGAAGACCTCATGCTCTGTTAGCCGATTTAGCTGCTGCTTTTGCAATAGCGTTGTATAGTCAACATGTTCCATGAGCAGTAGGCCTAGATAATTATAACAATCAACAATGTCTAAAACATCGTTACCAATATTTAAAAAGGCCATTGTTTTGGTAACGCTTCCATTTCTAAAGTGTACCATAATTGATTTGTCATTATTAAAAAAGATACTATTGTCTACACACCAAGTATTCAAAACGTAATATACTATGATAATAATCTATGTAAGAAATTCAAATCCTCTGCCGATTCTGCAAGCAAAATAACATCGTCAGCAAATACCCAAACCAGTATAATTTAGCTTGTCCAGGAAATCAATAATAAAATCGTTTTGGCGACATTAAACATCCTTGTTTTAAACTACGATTAACATTGAACCAGGGTGTAAGCATACCAATTATACTACAGTGCATTTGACATTTTCATATAAAAATTGAAGTGTAAGAAACAATTTTACATCATTTCTCCCACAGCACACCTCTGTTAATGCTATCATACGCTTCATGAAAGCAGAAAAAGAGTCTTTTTAATACCTTGTCTTGTTTCAATAAAAGAACAAACAGAGTGAATATGATCCGTAGTTGATCTACGCTTCCAGAATGCATTTTGTGCATCATTTAGAGCTCCTGCACTTTCAGGCCAACATTGCAGACGGTTATTTAAAATATTACAATATCATTCGTACATAGAATTGGTGAGTCAAACCCCTAGACGATACGGATCTGAAGGATCTCAAGTAGAACACTTTGGTATGCAGGTATTTTCCCTGTGTTAAAACGGATATTAAAAGTAATGTGCATAGCCGAAATAACATTTTGCGATTGAAGACATTCCATCTGGATACCATCAACACCAGGAGCCTTGCCACAGTGACTTGTATCAACCGCCCTAGTTACTTCAAAGAGAGTAATTTTAGAGTCGAGCAACACATGTGTCACCAGGCTCTCACAGGGATCTGTTTTCGTCTCTCCCCACCTACCCCAATCTCACCAATCTTCTTCCAGACTATTATTATCCTCCCACATTTCCTCCAACCGTTAACTAGCATACATTCGTTTGACGTGTCTACCGTGAATATTCTGAATCAGTGCCCTTGGTGCTTGGGCATGCCAACAACCCACCTGTCATTGTACCACCAACAGATTGCAACGAAACAAACGAGCAACAATTTGTATATTCCCACGCATTGCCGCAGCATTAACTCTACCAAACTGATAAGGTATATGACTCTGAAAATTGCTCTACATTTATTAGTTCTGGTTGTAGGGTAGTCGGTAACGTGTCGTGCTTAAAACATGAAGTTCATGGGTTCCAGTCTGCCAGGTTCCTTTTTTTCAGGGTACTTTTATAGAACTATACATACACAACTGAATGAATCGTCTACCTTGTCGTAAAATAAGTCATGAATAGTGTTCTTGGAAAACATAAGTAACGGAAATGATTTGTTTGCTGCCCCTCAAACCTAGGATCGGGCTTGAAGCCGCACTATGAAGCTTGTTTTCTGTAAACGGCTATTTTTCAGATATTTTTCTGCCGCTTCACTCAGTTTAGTCACATCAACAAGCCTTCCCACGTCAAGCACAGGCCGACACAGCTGTTTTTTTAAATTTCACCCAGTTCAGTGAATCAACAACCTCTTAAGACAAGTTGGTTGGTTGGTTGGTTGGCTGGCTGGCTGGCTGGCTGGCTGGCGTATGTGTTGTTTAACGCCGCACTCAGCAATACTCCAGCTATATGACGGCGATCTGGACCAGACAATGCAGTCATTGACATCATGAGCATCGATCCAAGCAATTGACATCGATGACATGCATCCACCAAGTCAGTCAGCGAGCCTGACCACCCAATCCCGTTAGTCGCCTTTTACGACAAGCATAGTAGCCTTTTAAGGCAAGCATGGGTTGCTGAAGACCTATTCTACCCCGGATCTTCACGTTGTAAGCTCCGCCAATTACAACAACGGCTGTTTAAAGACCAATAAATAACCAATTATAGATATAAATATCTTCAGGAGAGATAATAGCCATAGCTGTTATACCATTATTGTATGGGGGCGGGGGAGTAGGGGGGGGGGGGGGGGGGGGGGGGGGGGTGTGTGTGTGTGCAAAAATGGTACATAAAATGTGTGTGTGTGTGGAGGGGAGGGGAGGGGAGGGGAGGGGAGGGGAGGGGAGTGTATTGATGTTCCGGGCCATTACACATGACTTTCCCAGCTGACAATGATCTGTTAATGAATGAAACTTTAGTAGCTATGATACCATGTATATTATGTCCAACAAAGTGCAACATTATCCTGAGCAAAACGGCCATTCAGCCTCTCTACCCCACACTGTATGAGTTTTAGTCACCGCCTTTATTAAAACAAGTTCACCATGTAGAATGTCTTCATTAATACAAGTTCACCATGTAGAATGACTGCACAACAAAGTGTTTCAAAGCTGTCTTTCATCACTAACGCACTATTTCACTGTCATATAGGGCTTGCTTTTGCTTCACATCCACCAGACTAACGCTCATTTGAAGCACAGCTCATACAAACTTACAATTTCCACCATTAGATCATAAACTTCGCAGTAAAACAAATAAAACATTTATGTTTATAATTTAAAAGCAATTATTAATTTATAGTTCAAAAAGTGCGCTGAGGAATGGTGATATCTATATAAATATAGCATACAATATTCCACAAATATTATTCATACCCAACAAAGAGTGTCGCTCTTTCTGTTTTCGAATTGATCAATAGTATCTGTTTTTTGTGGTTTAGGCATCTTTTGCGTATTTACAAAACTTGAAATACCATGCAACGTGCAACGTACGTAGGGTATTCAAGTTTAAGCCCCAGGAAGAAAACCTGCACTGGTGGTTAACGGGACATGTTGCGAGCTTATGACCTCCAAATAAATTACCCCACGGCCAGACAAACGATCCTGTACGCGCATAGGCTAGAATGTACTATTTCACAGCGCTAATGTGGCCACAAGTTATCTTATTCATATCGCGGTATATCCGAACGTTTATTAATAGAAAGGGTGTTTTCCAGCCAATTCACACCCGTCTGCAAATCCACTTTTGGTAACTTTGGGGTCCTTTCGAAAGTTCCTGTGTCTCCAGTTTCAGTCTGCGGTCTTTTGGCACTGCTTGATTTGGCCCGGGGGCACCCCCAGTGGGTGCAAACCCCCTTTTTGGAAGGAACTCTTTTTTAGCGAACTTCTTAACACTTACATGAACCCCCCAACTCAACTCTCACCCCTCAACCCTGGCCAATCGAATCGCTCCCTTTTCACGGGCCGATTAATCGCTTTTCTCCCTTTCCCTTCTTTTGCCTCCGTTATCCAGGCCCCGCTTTTACCCCGCTTCTGCACCCCTTTTAACCCGCTTTTGCTCGCTTTCACCCAGATTTCTGGCTTTGCTTTCAAACGTTAGGAACAAATATTGTCTTACATTTCATAAACAAAATTCAGAAAATTTCACTACAATTTCGAAATTTTGAAATTTTGAATCAAACCAAATTTTCAAGTGTTCATTTTACCCATAGTTACGGCTTCGGCTTCAGGTTCAAACACAATATTGTGAAGTAATTTCTCTTCTCTTGTATTTCATTTCATCACATTTTTTAAGAAAATTTCACAACAATTTTTCTTTTTCAAATATATATAATGTTCATTTTACTTCCTTCACTATTTGGCATAATTTGTTTCTTGTTTTCTGGCGATTTCCTCTTCTTGTCCTTCAATGCAGTTTTAACTCTCTTTCCACTTTCCACCTGGTCTGCAGGTTTCATACAGTTATATACACTTTTCTGTTTTCTGTAAAACAAGTCATTGCATAATTATACTTTATTTTCCAATATAGGAAATAGCATTTTTTCATCGTACATGTAGTTCCAGTTTTTCTTCTACTTCTTTCTACTTTTCACACAAATCCACCACGTGACTACACCGGCTACACCGACAGCGCCGAACGCCAAAAAACGCAGTTTGGACAGCCGGCACCAAGCCACTCGGAAAACCAACCGGCAAAGCACCGAGGGCATCTGGGCATTGCACCGACCACCAAAAAACGCAGTTTAGATAGCCGGCACCAAGCCACCCGGAAGGAAACAGCAAAGCACCAATCACAAGCGAGATCACTAATGCCAAAGGCCGTCATTTCCTCCCTCCATCGGCTGGCCATGGCGGAGCACGGAGCTGAATGTCGCTGGCTGGCATCGCCACACCCAAGCGTGCTCGCTCCATCGACGGAGAGGACAGTTATGCACATGCATCTGAAGGTAAGTTCATTCATATATTTCACTCCACATCTTTTGTTTATCGCACAGAGCGGCCATTCTGTCAACCAGGGACGAAGCACGTTCCAAACCATTTCCTCCCTTGGCTATTTGCAAGTGCTTAATTTTCTTTACAGAAATTGTCATCCCTTTTTGCCGCTCTCTGGTGCACATTGCAAGTGTTTTCGTGGCGAAGAAGCAGGCAGCGTGGTACCTGTATTCTTGTATGTATGTTTGTAGGACAAATGCTTAACTTCACCCACTGACCACGCCCTATAACAGTAATTGTACCGTATTTCATCCCACAGAAGAACTGCTCTATGTTATCATTAATCAACATGCACCATTCACCACACCCCTCAGTGTAAACAAATCAAGTATTCAACTACCGTATTTCCTACAAAAACACGTCCCTTTATCATGAGTATTTGTTGTATATAGTACTTTTCTTCTGTTGAAAATGTATTTGTTCAAGGCCCCGCCCCATATTCAAACTAATACTGGCATCTCATTGCTGGAAATCTTACCAAGAGTAATTCTTTAAGCATCTATCACCTCATTGGCCATGTTCTTATGAATACAAACATACCTACACAAATTCCTTTGCTGTTTTCTGGTTTGTAAAACAATTTATGGTCAAAATAAGGCCCCAATATAAGTAATGATGTAGGTTAGGTAAGGTAACCTAGACTTTCCCCAGTACCAGATCTTGTAGATATTGAAGCTTGTAGAATCAACATATAAACTACCTCCCTGGTTGTTGAACACATCTTGTCAGTTATCCCCTCCATATCATCAGGTACATCAATTCAACTTCCCATAGTCATTGTAATGGAATCTGTCCTGGGGGCATGGGAGACAACTCTGATTGTCTTCATTAAATAGTGATTTGCAGGGCGCTTCAATTGTATTGTAATGTAATGTTATAATGTAATGCTTTTCAATCAAAATCCATTTATTATTATCCATGTCTAATTTCTTGTTATCCATAGTTGATCATAGTACATTTTGGAGTATTATTCTGTAGTATATTTCCATGTAAAACACTTGATATTTCAAGCAGAGTTTCTGTTAAACTCATTCCCCAGTACATACTGCTTGAAGCATAGCTACTTTTCTTGTACTGTATGTAAATAATGGATAATATTTTTATTGATAGGATTTATGGTTCTTATGTTTATTGAAACTTAATATTGATCCCATTAACCTTTCTGTTGATCAATAACTATTGTAGAAGGGGCTCATGTCATCTAGACTAGTGTTGACATAAATAACAGAGAGCACTAAGTAGGTACATAGACAGTTTATTGTGACTATGCCTATAATAGTCAATGAGTTGTACGTTGTATCTGTTGCGCCAAGCCATGTTGCAAACTTGATGACAATACAAGTTTTGTCAGGCATGTTCTTACGAATACAGAGATACTGACCCAGATTCCATCGCTGTTTTCAGTCAAGCTGAGTGATTGTGAGCTGGGTAATTATATATAACATATGCATCCATTATGCTCCATTCATTGATCAAGTTGTTTGTCTTTATTCCATTGCTGCTGTACAGGCCTGCCGAATCGATGTCACACGACCTCGTCCCTCTCCCCCCTGGCTCCCGCTCCCCCTCCCCCTCCCAATTGTGTCATGTTCATTGTATCATTGATTATTAAATTGAACATCTGCTTTTTCTTCTTCTAAAAACCTAATGTAAAAGTCAATAATATTGTTGACATTAGTGTCTTTGTGTTACCACTTGAGTGTAACCATGGTAACGGTTCTGTAATTATTCCAGTATCACGAACCATGAAAAGTGACATCTTTATTGAAACCTTTATATCTAAATTTCCAAGAAATTGATGTTTTTGTTGGTCACCAAGGTGTCAGAGCATTAAGAGTGGTGGAGTAATTATGTTTTAACTTGTTTTGGCTGTGAATCGCTTGTGCTCATTGTGTTGGACATTGTTGCAGACACAAGATGGCTGTGTGGCGCCGACACAATCTCCTGACACAACTTACCTGACACAACTTACCACAGTCCCTGATATTTTCTTCTTTATGGAACATTGTGAAAGGTAGGCAATTATATACTTTGGTCTCATTCTACTCCATGATATTTTTTATGTGGTATACTGTATTTGCGGTATTAAGCACCCCACTCTATTAATAGCAAGGATTTATCTGGAAGTCCAAAACCCTTCCGTTTGTTCCCTCGGCCGTCAAATTGGGAAAGAAATTGTGTTATTGTTCCAAATTTGGGAGAGCTTCAAACTGGGAGTTTGTACAGTCTTTTGCTGCAGACTTGTGGTCGAATATAGATAATCCCGAAATAGAATTATGTGACAGGTCCTTTTTTGTGTGTGTATATTACAGCAATGGTGAAGAAATAACTGTTATTGTCAACAATGCAGTTTACTGGTCCAGGCTTAATTAGCGCTAACTGGCTACGGCTGCTGATTGTGGCACCCTCTTCACAGGTTTTGTGTTCCTCTTCAGTCATTAGGACAAGTTGTGGTTGTGTTTGTGTTACGGTAGGTTACCAGCAACTCTTTCTTATCAAGCACCCCTTTCCGATCATTGGTTGGGCACCCCTTTCCCATCAAGTACCCCTTTACAATCATTAGGGTTAGGTACCCCTTTACAATCAAGTACCCCTTTACAATCATTAGGGTCAGGTACCCCTTTCCGATCAAGCACCCCTTTACAATCATTAGGGTTAGGTACCCCTTTACAATCAAGCACCCCTTTACAATCATTAGGGTCAGGTACCCCTTTCCGATCAAGCACCCCTTTACAATCATTAGGGTTAGGTACCCCTTTACAATCAAGCACCCATATACAATCATTAGGGTCAGGTACCCCTTTCCGATCAAGCACCCCTTTACAATCATTAGGGTTAGCTGTGTGGTAGGACATGGGTTAGCTATCTCTTTTAAGTGATCCAAAGTAATTTTTGGAAAATCCATTCCATGTTTATCAAGCTTCGAGCACCGCTACGTCTCTGACAACAAATGTAACTTGTGGTTGGTTTCAATAAGCGCCACACTTTGTCAATTTGCCAAGCTCCCGGGGTGCTTACTACAGCTAACATTTAGTTCTATGTTTATGTTTTTGTTTCAATTGTCTTGCACCCATGGCAACATATGATACGAAGTGTTCCAGAGAATCTCTTCATTTTCAGGAGAAAGCTGGAGTTTTTCCATTGTTTAGTAGACTTGCTTGGGAGCTTTCGGTTATTTCTTCTTCAGTGTCTGTTGGAGAGACGAGTGCAGTTGTTCCTGACAAAGTATGACACTGACATCTGAAGTGTTTCAGCAGTGCATGTCCATATACCTTGTCCGTATACCATGTCCATAACCCATGTCTATACACCATGTCCGTATACCATGTCCATATTCCTTGTCCCTATACCATGTCCATAACCCATGTCCATAACCAATGTCCGTATACCATGTCCCTATACCATGTCCCAGACTTGTTTATTTACTGCCGTGGTGATGCTGGAATATTGCTGACTTCATTGTTTAACTTTCATTCACCTACACATGTGCTTATAAGACTGGGAGAGAGCAAGGTTGGTGCTTCAATCCCCTGGTGGGACGGTAAAGGGTGGTGCTTGTTGTTACCTTGCCTGGCGCTCGGCATTAAGTCTAGACTAGTACAAGCAGCCACAAACATACATGTGCATGCACGTCGCTATATAGGTGCAATAATCTTGGACACGACGTAAACGTCTAAGACCTACATCACATCGTTGAACTCAACTGTACTCCTTCAGGATATGGGATAAACAGCATGAATGTAATTTCAGTAACATTTGACAGAAATATGATGTCAGCAATTAGTCCCACATTTACCTTCACGTCTTATGTTTCTGTAAAAACAAAATTGCATAAGTTTTCTTTATTTTTCACATCAACCATTGTCTCAATTGGTCTCTTAGAATATGGTTATTAGTTCAAATCGTAATTCCTTAAATACATCAATAATAAGAGCACATTGTCCCTATAAAAGACTGGCCTCGTTGTAGACAAGTCCATTATAATCCATTATAATGTACTTATCATTCAGTAGAGACTTGGAGCAAGTCTAACCGATCACCCGCCTTTCCGTAACCGGAAGCAGCAAGCACCAATCACAGGCTAGATCACAAACGGCCTCCATGAGCTGGCCACGTGCATGTTTCTTGTGCCCGGCATCACCAACATGCTGGTTCTGTCTGGTCCAATCTCCATCGCTGGTCAGGGACAGCTGTAAGTTGCTTCGTATATTTGACTCAACAGTTTGTATTTCTTGCATGTAGCTGCCATTCTGTCAAGTAGGGAGGAAGCATGTTGGAAACCATGTCACGTGCCTTGACCGTTCGCAGGCCTCCAAGACATTGTCTCCTGTATTTGCCGCCCTCTGGTGCACATTCCAATTGTTTTTGTGGCGCGGAAGCAGGCCCCGTGCTTCCTGTATTCTTGTATGTATTATAAGTGCGGACCTTCACACACTGACCATGCCCAAACAGTGTAGGCAAACCTAAGTATTCAACTACCGTATTTCGGACAAAAAACAATTCCTTTATTATGAGTATTCATTCATTATGCTCCATTTATTGACCCAGTTCTTTGTCTTTATTCCATTGCTGCTGTACAGGCCTGCTGACCCGATGTCACCCAACCACGGCCCTCTCCCCCCTGGCTCCCACTCCCAAGGAAACAGTTCATTGTCTCATCTTTTTTATCTTTAAAATTTCTTCTTTTTTCTAAACACGTAACCTTAAAGTTAATAACGTTGTCCGCACTAGTCATTCGTGTTTGCAGTTGATTGTAACCCTGTTGACAGTACTGTAATTTTTCTAGTATCCTGAACGAGGAAACATCCCATATTAACACCTTATTTATAAATTTCAATTAAATTCAATTTGTAGTTTGATATCAGGGCATTAACATTTGCATAGTAATTATGGTTTATCTTTCTTCCTTTGGCTGTCAATTAGTTGTGTTCATTGTGTTGGACATTGTTGCAGACCCAGACCAACATGGCTGTGCGGCCACTGACATCACCTCTCCACACATCCTTCTGACACAGCCTTCTGACACAGCCTTCTGACACAGCCTTCTGTCACATCCTTCAGACAATCCTCACAGCAACTTGATATTTACTTCAAGATGGAAGATTGTGTAAGGTAGGTGATTTTATACCAATGGTAGCAGCTGTATTCGCCGTATTAAGCACCCCGCCTATGGAATACATTCGCATGGTAAGGTACTGTTTTGTTTGTTTGTTTGTTTATTTTACATCACTATATTACTATTAAGCAAACAAAGTTTGGTGTCACCAATGTTGGAACCAATTTTCTTCTCTATCGCTTTTCCTCTGACAACAAATTTAACTTGTGCCTGGTGTTTGTACCCCCATTGTCAATTTCCCATGGCCCCCGCGGCACTTATTATGGCGAATATGGCGCTAACATATTGCCTCTGAAATGAAAGTTGGTTTACATTTTGTTTGAACTCTTCATTTTCAGGAAAAATCTATATTTGGCAAAGCATTATACACTTGATTGGGAGCTCTTGGATATTTTTATTTCAGTACATAGTCTTATGAGACACTAGCCCTCTTGTACCTATCCAAGTATGTCAGAGTGGGTATATGTGTATATGGAAAAAATGCTCGTATACCATGTATACCAATGTTAAAACTGCTATATCAAACCATTGTTGTTGGGGCTAGCATAGCCTTGCTTCAAGTCTGTACTGAATAAGTCCATGGATGTGTAGTAATTCTAACCTTTTAATAGGCAAGTCTATGGGGACAGTACTCTAAGGATGCCAGTTGTTTATGGGGACACCTTGTTTTTATTATTATATAGTCTGGGAATTATGGTTTAAACTAATATTCATTGCTTTAGAGACTTGTGTAGGTCTAGGGTTAGCAGTATATATACTGAACCGCAAAAGAAACATCACCATGGATAGATATATGAGAAACTGTATTTGTCCAAGCACTGTAAACATACTTTGAGACATATTAAAAAGAAGAAACTTGGCTAAACTGATCATCATGGTTGAAATTAAAGTGTCAAATGTTCTTAAAGTGAAACACAACACTAGTCTCTGAGAAAACGGCATCACAAGTCAGTATCTCTTGTGTCCGCCATTTGCATTGATGACTGCCGTCCAACGTCGATACATGGAATGGAGGAGGCGGTTGATGAATATTGATTATACTGATTTCTATGTGTGGTATATCTGATATTGGTTACGTCATTGATGGGTGTCTAGCTTGTACTTGATGCTGTGTAGTGTTGAAGCACTGGAATGTGGGCTATATACTGATTTCTATGTGTGGTATATCTGATGTTGGTTATGTCATTGATGGGTGTCTAGCTTTTCCTTGATGCTGTGTAGTGTTGAAGCACTGGAATATGGGCTATATACTGATTTCTATGTGTGGTATATCTGATATCCCTATACTGTAAACAATTGTGTTGTTCTATCGCGTTCTCAGCGTTGAGTCGTTCATAGTCCGCGCCTTGATAGTGTGTCCATCAAATAACGCCGTGACAATCCCAACTCGCTCATTCACTAATGAAATAGTTATAGCTTTTAAAACGATTTATTGTGGACACATTTCTATATTTAACTCATGAGAGACAAAAATGATGGACGATACAATTCCCTGTTTTGACTTGTACCAGATGTCCTTGTGTTTTTGGGTGAATCATTGACTTGCCTTTGCATGTATTTGTGACGGGTGCCACCAGTGAATGTTGTTTGAATGGACGGAAGAAAGGTGGTCATCGAGGACGCCATGTTGTTGGATGCTGGAGCGGCGTCAGGGTCGGGATGCATTAACTTATCAAAAGATAACTTCACAGCGAGCTGAAACAGAAGGGGTAGACACACTGTCCATGTTCAGACAAATTGCAGTCATTAGAACAGCATTAGCCACTAATTCTGCTATCAAGATTTTATTCTTTGTCAGTTATCAACACCGTTAAGGTTCTTTTTTGTATTTAGTTTCCGATTAATTGTGTCAATCTTATAATGGACCCATTTGGATTCTCGAATTGCCTTATCTAGCCAAACGAGATAGTCTCCGTCGAGGCAAAAGTTTCAATTCAGAGGAAATTACTCTTGAAAGCAAAAAAATTAGTACACAAAAATGTAAAAGTGATTTTTGAAATGTGTCTATTTTTGTGCCTTCCAGCGTAATAGATATGTTCAAGGCTTTCCAAAGGAGGCGAAAGGTTTTTGCTAAAGCAGATATTCATTTGTATTGATACGCTTCCAACACATACATGTACATGTAGAGCGATTAGTTGTAGTACTCTGAGACTCGGGTGACGTAAGCCGGTTCAGAACAAAATCGATAAAGTGAACTCATGTGCCATGCATCTCAGGAACCCCGATATTCATCACATTTGACGATGAATGGCGTTTTGTCAGATCGCCAACTAATTGTCTTTGAAATATGCTCTAGTCCTCTAGAGCCAATTTAAGTTCCCTATATGACAAATAACAAGCGATCACCTCGGTAAGAGAGAGTTCTGCTCTTCGTAATGTTTAAATTACTTTCTGAGTTTACCGTGAATAATATTACAAAGGTTAAGACGGTAATACCACGTCACTTTCTGTTTGTGTCACTAACGTCAGTCAACGTTAAACCACGTCACTTTGTGTCGCTATCGCCAGTCAACGTTAAATACGTGGGCATATAAAGTATTAAAAGTTTACCATATCCCAACAGTTTTTGTCAAAGCAGATTTTATTGTCAGATGCAATTACGGGTTTAAAGTGAGTTTTCCTTATTTAAACCTTGAAGATTCTTCAACATTCTAAAACATCAATTACCACAACGTTCTTCGAAAGTTGATTATTCGAGAAATGCAACTGACAGTTTTAACTGTGTAAAATAATCAACGAAGGCACAGCAATGTTCTCGTTGGCACGTGTATTGAATTTGATATGCGACAAGAAGGTGGTCATATATATGTAAATGATATCCTGAACGAAATCACTTGACAATTCAAAGTTAACGATTTTTGTTATTTTGAATTGATATTTTGTAGGTTTTAAATGTTATTCAAATTGTGTCACATTTTATTTATTAGTCAATAGCATCTCTCGATCGATAAGCTTTGTCTCTCTATTAGTTTTTTTTAATACCAATTCAAAACCGTAAACATGCCACGCAATTTCCCCGATCTCTGCACATTGACGTGCGATTCACAGACCACCAAAGTACACTGTTTGCTTTGTTTGGTTTTCGATCCCGGATTTATATTTCAAAGAAGAAACAAAATACATTTGTCAGTTTCATTCATTTCTTTTGCGACCTGTCAGACCCAGATTCAAGATGGCGCCACATTTCAGTCAACCATTGTCCTCTCTTGTCAGCCAAACGAGAGACAATTCCAACACTCCAAGACTTCCAGGAAACGAAGGGACAGCGCTCAGGAACACCCGTCTCGCTTAGCCTGTCTCTGAGAACCCCATTGTGAAGTTCGCAACGGTGTATCAATCACACGAACACATGTAATGCCTATTCAACTCGACCAAACACAGCATAATGGCTTCATCTAAATCCTGTCAGCCGAATCTTTTCGCATTTACTTCTAGGTGAATCATAAAGAGTTTGCTTTTAACTTTTTGTCTAATTCCGGCTTGTATGCCGTGCAAGTTTATAGATCCCGTCAAATTAGCGGATCCTTTTATCCCCGTAAATGATTTTGCTTTTACACAGGTAGAGCCACATTCATCGAGGGCTTATGGAACACGATGAACACTCGCTCTGTAATGGGCAGATTAGAAAGATGCTTTCAAGCCGTGGTGGTAGTATTGACTTAATGTAGGCAGGAATCAGAAAGACGTATCTACAGGAAGGTACGAACAACCTTTACCAAAGAGAGTGTAGTCGGAACATAATAGGATCATGGACTTGGAATAAGATACACATCTCTACGCGCAGTGATGGGTAAATAATACGTAGGTTCACCTCACAACGCGGAGTGGTACAACAATGCATGCACTAAAGCCCCCTGGCGGTCAGCGGAAGCACTACACTTCTGTCGCGTGGTGATTAATGTATTACAATGGAAATCGGGTTTAATGAATAGACGGTCGGAACTAATGCAGAAGGACTAATGTTTGGAAGAATGGAAACAGAAAAAAATTATATTGAGATTAAAAGTTTTTATTCGGAAATGCATGCTGGAGTGAGAGATACTAGTCTAATTAAAATGCCGAGAGACACCCGATTCGTGCCTGTCACATAAAAAAAGATGATAGACAATATTTTAAACAAAATTAAAGCGTCACAATGGACTTCTTGCAGACACGTTTTTTGCCTGGCAACAAACACATATTTTATTGTGTGAATGGCGGACTACAGATTGGGCAGAACATGCTAACCACGATGTTAGACCTGGCGTCATCACTGATTTTTAGGCATCCATTCGTAACATTTTCACAGGCATTTTGCCTTTTACGCCCTATGGAATCTGTTTTTATAGGGTTTTAAAGCTTTTATTCATCCGTGACTCACTTTAAAACTTTGGGTTGAGACACCAGGTGTTCGGGCAACGGATGACTCGTCCTAACTGCAGCTTTCAGAGAACACAATTGTGGTGCATGTTATTTACAAATAGGCCGAAGGTATGTATGGCTCCGCTGGAGTGGACCACCTCCGTGGTCTAGTGGATACAGCGTCAGTCAGAGAGCGGAACGTCGGTGGCTGGATTCTCGACCGCGTCATTCCAATAGACGTTCAAAGATGTTGTTCTTGTTATCCTGGGATAATAGGTTAGTAACGGGATAAAATATGGACTCGGCGCAGAGTTAGTAGTATGTGTCCTAGTTGGGTAACCATGTTAAACTGCGGCATGGTATCTCAGTGGGCTAGCACTATAAAACTGGCAGTAGTCCGGACTAGAAACCCCCTTCATATACACAAAAACGTACGTTAATAAGACGTTAATACTAAACTGAGGGCCAAAAGAAACGTTACCAACATTAACTGATTTGCCACTTTGAAACAAAGATACCAACCTGTTCAAAAACAGTAAAGAACACATCTCACAAATACAGCCTTCATGTTCTCTGTCGTTCTTTGCACGTGCTTTACGGATTTTGGGAGATATTGGTGTTTGTCAGCAATTTTTAAAACATTTTTTCCCAAATT